GGGGGGGTCTGAGAAAAGCTTGGTTAAATGTGACCAAGGAGAATAGCTCCCCTTAAAAATGTTGCTAAGATCTTTTATTTATTTATTTTTTGGTTTTTCGAGACAGGGTTTCTCTGTGGCTTTGGAGCCTGTCCTGGAACTAGCTCTGTAGACCAGGCTGGTCTCGAACTCACAGATCTTTTATAAACATGAGGATCTCACTTCCAATATCTTTCCCCAATAGTTTTTCACATCTACTGAAAAAAAGATACTCTTCCACCAATTTTAGATTCTATGTGTATATACAAATAAGCAATCTAGAATCTTATACATATGTAAATCTATAGCCCATAACTTTCAATTTTTTCAATGTCTTCAAGATCCTGGGGGCTGGGGCTGGAACTCAGTGATGAAGCCCTTGCTTAGCATGTGAAAGGCCCCGAGTTTTCTCTGGACTCGTAACACTGCTGAAAAAAAAATAAAAAAGTTAGCAATGCATGTCAGGCAGACGCAGGTTTTCATACTTTCTCTTAGCTCAGTAAACTAGCAATTAGTTCGTCTTCGGCCTCTGCTACAGTGCCTCGAGCCAGTGTCTCAGGACACCCAGCTGCAGAGACCAGAATCGGGAAATCCCTGGGTCGAGTTTATGGTTCCGTGAACTTGTACCGAACCGACAGCAAACAGAAATCTCTATTTGTAGGGTAGGTTCAGGTGGTAAGGAAGAGGAAGACTTAAAGAACAGGACTTTGGTCGTCACAGAGGCAGACAGACCTCCGACTTCGGTCCTCTCTGGCGTCTCGGGACTCACACCTCCCGGGGCCACAGGAGGTGGAAAAGGTCGCGCCCGCCCCCGCCCACCCCCTCTGCAGTCCCAGACTGCCAGCAGCCGAGCCTGCAGGCGCCAGGCGCCCCGCCCAGACCCCGCCCACTCCCCCCGCCCAGGCCCCGCCCCTCAGCACGCGCGGCCGGCCGGCGCCCCGCCCCGCCCTCCCACGTGACGACCCCACCCTCCGCGCGCGCTCCGATTGGCTCTTGGGCGCGAGCGGGCGGAGTCTGCCCAAGTCCAGCGGCCCCAGACGCGGCTGCACTTTTCAAACCTCAACCGTGAGAAGCGCCGGTCGGCGTCCGTGCGTGCGGCGCTCGTCGCCGGGAGTCGCCTCCCAGGGACCCGGCCGCCGGCGAGCAGCCGCCGTGAGCGGGGAAGAGAGCGAGGTGAGCCTGGGTAGCCGCCGCCCCGTCGGGGGGCAGAGCCCGCGGCGGGCCGAACCGTCCGTCCGTCCGCCGGCGTCGGGGGTGCGGGGCGCGGGGGACACGGCGGGGGAGCCCGAGGGCCGGGGCGGCCGTCCGGGAGCGTGGGCCTTGCCCGATCGCCTCCACGAAGTGTGTGTGGACGCGGTGGTGGATCCCGGGCTCGCGTGCTGCGGCCCCGGGACGCTTTCCCGTCGGGGCGGCCGCGCTCGGCCCGCAGCCCCGGAGGAACTCGGCGGCCATCGCATGGGCCGCTGTCAGCCCAGGTGTGGGGGAGCCGCAGCTGTTTGCCCCGACGGTCCGGCTTTCCCCTGTGCTGGTGACCGAGCCTCAGACTGCGGTCTGGACCGGTCTCCCGGCCCGCCCGGCCCTACCGTGGGAAAAGGCGCTTCCGTCCGCTTCCCCCTTCGGGACGTGGAGGAGTGGAGACAAAGTGGCGAGGAACTCCCCAGCCGGCTTGCGGCCGGTCTCGGTGGCTTGCATGGGGGACTAGAGGCGCGCTGGCTTCAGCTTGCAAGTTGGGATGAAGGAATACATCCGAAAGTTTAGTGATTTCGGTCACCCTCAAGCGTCAGGTCCGTAGATGACATTCACCTAGTGTTGGGCTGACGTCATGTTGACATCCGTGGCACCGATAACGCCGAGCCTCGCCGGCAGGTTTGATAGCGTGTGGACTTTTTAAAAAAGTTTTTCCAAGTCTAGCAGAGACTCTGTGCCTTGGGCGGCAAGGTCTGCCGCGATACATAGGCGACTGGAGGCGTTTGAAACGTGGGATTTTGAACTCCAGGAGCAGAGTTTTATTACACAGAGATAATAAACTCACTTTCTCATTGGTACACCGTTGTACCGTCTTTAGGGTGAGATGCCCAGAAATGGTTTTGCACAGTTTCGTAAAAACTGAATCACACTGCTTTAAAATCGTGTATATTTCAAAAAAGTTGGTGACCAAGTTTTAGACCTGTGTTCTCTCCCAAACCCTTTTCTGATATTAATTGAATTTTCTGATTTTAACATTTCAAGTAATTGTTATTTTTTTGAGATACACATACATTTTAGATAATTTTCTAAAATGAAGGTTTTACTCTTAAAGTACATTTACCTTCATGACAGTATGTTTAAGTTAGAGAAACAACATTTCTGTAATCATTTGGAAATCTTTTTTGTGTGTGGACACATTGGGTGACGGTTTCTCTCGGATTAAGTAAAAAATTACAGTTCCAGGTCAGGGAGAAAGCTCTTCTGGAAAAGTGCCTGTCACCAACCCAAATATCCTGATCCCCTGGGACCTGCATGGTGGAAAGAGAGAATTTACTCTCACTGACCTCTCCACTTGCATGTAATAAAAAAGAAAAAGAGGAATTACAGTTTGATTAAGGTAGCAGTGGTATTTTAGTAGAGACCTCATTAATCAATGTGAATGACATCTATAGAAACTGCAGGCATTTAATAGCAGGCATTTTTTTTATTAATTTCATTTTTAAGTTTGTACTGACAGCCAAGCAGTGTTGGTGCTTGCCTTTACTCTCAGCATTCGGAAGGCAGAGGCAGGTGGATCTCTGTGAGTTTGAGGGCAGCCTGGTCTACAGAGTGAGCTCCAGGACAGCCAGGACTCTTACACACAGAAGCCCTGTCTGGAAAGAAAAAAACAAAAACAAACAAACAAACTCTGCCAACAGTGAACAGTTTACTGGTACTGAGCGAACAGGCACATTTGTTTCAACGCTTTGTTCTGTAGCAGTTTGAGAATTATAAAGCAGGATTTCTGTGTCAAAAGCTCTCAGTTTTAGAGACTCAGTTTAAAACTCAAATCAAGAAAATCAATTACAAATTTATGCATTTTATCCTTAACATATATATTATAATGCACACTCCCTTTGTCTAAAATGCTTACTTCCTGCACCTTGGCATTCGCTTAGCTGTTGAGCTATATAGCCCAGTTTGAAAGGAGTGTTGCTCTTTGAGACAGAGTCCCCCTGTGTAGTCCAGGCTGGCTTTGACCTCAAGAGAGCCACCTGCTGTTGCCTCCCAAGTGCTGACAGTAAAGACGTGCAGCCACCGTGGCTGCTCAGAGCTGATTGTTTCTGTGGGGTGGGTGCTGGGCATTGAATATGGCCTCGTGGACTCCACACACAGAGCTGTGCATGCAACCATACATATCTTACATTTTCTATACCAGACTACTAGAAAAAGACAGGTTTTCTTTTCTTGCTGGATTCAAAGCAGAGAAATGTTCTTTTCAATCAAGTCACAAGTGTCTACTTTTATGATGTTGCTGTGATAAAAGTTGCATTTTTGAGAACATCCTTCATTAAATTGCTTTCTTCTATTTGTTTTACCTGAGCATTTAATTCAGTTATTTTATGCATGTAAATGAGTCCTCTTATAAATATTTATACACAATATGTTTGGTTGATTTCCTTGCTCTTTCCAGCTAGTCCAGAAGAGGACGTATTAAGCACTGAGAAACTTGAATGGAGAGATGGCAGGTCTCTCTAATCCTTTAAGGCTAGATTCTGTTTTGCATTGTGATAGCTACTGAGCAAACAGTGTTGGCTGTGCTGTTAGCAAACGGTGTGGTAATTTATTGTACAACAGAAGCCCGGCTTTCCGCCTGATGAGTGAGTGACAAGCTCCTTGTAATTGTTGGCCCTCCATTATTTCCGGTTTTCAACATCTTCCATCCTACTTCACAATTGTAGGATCTATTCTTCTCTGAAGGTGGGGAGAGGTGGCCGCAGGCCTTAACTGCCTTGGCCTGGTGTCAGGCTGGGGTTCTTTGCCTGGACCGCAACCCTGGTGTAAACCATACCCCAGGGCTGGACTAGAGTCACTTGGCTTCCTATTGTGATCTTCAGGGGATTAAATTATCGAATTATGCTTGCTGTTGAGTACTTAAACACAAACAGCACAACCCTATCAGAACACACAGCACGTGGGAGCCGACATTTGCTTGCGGCAGGACTGTGTTCAAGTCCCTGGCCAACTGAAGCAGATCCCTCCTCAACATGGCAGGAAGTTGTGTTTTTATGGATGCTAGGTAAATACATCTTCAGTCTGTCTTTTCCTGGACGCAGCTCAGCCTTGTTGGTGCGCATGAAGGAGAAAGGAGTTGCTCCCCTGCCATAGCAGTTCACACTTCCTTCATGCAGATCTAGATTTGCCAGTCTTCAGGCAGCACAATGTGGGGCTCTCAGGGAGCGCTTAGCTAACCCAGATATTGACGTGCAAATGGGGGGCTCACCTGGGCAAAAATTAGTAAGTACAGACTAAATGGTTCTTCAGTTTTGCATTACAGTAGATGATAAAGATAATTGTCACATTTCTGGGTCTTGTGATGACCTCGTTTTGAACTGACAGTCTATAAGAGAAATCTTAGTTATTTAGTCAGCTGCTGAAATAATGAGAGACCGCTGGAAGCTTCAGGACTGCAATTCAAGATGATCTCAGCTCAGCCTACCCCTTAGATGTTCCCAGACATACATTTTGCTGTGCCTTACCTATAGACTTGTAGTCAAATGTTTTCAATCCTCACTAGGGACGCCGCGCTGAGGTGCATGAGCTCAAGTGAACGGTGGGTGTCCCCAGACACAAAGTGTCTGCTCTCTAACGGTCAGTCTTCAGGTGCTGTGTCCAGGGTCCTCTTGCCTGTGGGTTTTAGGCAAAGCTTCCTGGGGCAGAGCATGCATAAGAAGTAGCCCTTTAGGGAAAGGTAGGATGTATGTTTCAGGCAGAGAAGTAAAGCAAAGAAGTGGAGATCAAATAGGAAACTGAAGCGTGAGAGGACACGGAGCTAGGGCATATTGAGCTTCCGGGGTCTTTGACGTTACAGTTCCTGGGGCTAATAAAGGACTCATCGCAGGCCACTTATTTCTCAGTGCGTTCAGGATTGCACTCTGTGGTTTCTGCACTCACAAGCTCTTTGCATTGCTAGCTTTGAAAGAGTACTGCAGTAGTAAGTTCTAAGGGGAAGGTTGTTTATGTAATGCTCATCATGCTGGGTCTTCTCCATCCAGCTCAGCCCAGGCACAGACCGAATCTAACATTTCCTCTCTTCCTTCCTTCCTCGATTCCTATCTGAATTCCTATTGTAGTTATTGTAGTGGGAGTTAGTGAAAACACTGGAAAGAGTGTGTAACCCCATGCGTGTGTACCACGCGAGTACACAACTGACATCTCACTGTGTCTCCGTTGTGCCTCCTGGCGTTGTGTCTGTGATTGCTTACGAACACGAGTTCAAAGTCCCCTATGTCTTTATTGCTATAGTTTGATAAAATATTCAGTGATTTCAAATTGAGTAAGCTAAATTGGTAATTTGAATTTAGAATGTTACATTCTTGGTTAGAATTGGCTATAAAAGCTATGAATTGTAGAAGAGAAAATCTCTGGATTGTTTATTAGAAATGAGAACGTGATGATCATTTGAGGACAGACAAGGAGAGGCAGAGCTGACTGGCAGCCCTCATGTGTATTGTATCACAGGCAGCCACCGTTTGTGAAGACTTTGTTGACCAGAGATGACTTGTGCTCCCTGATAGGCTACGTTGGAGATAGGAGAAACAGGAAATACCTAGACTGACAGCTCTTAAGGAAATTAGGAGGAGGCAAACAAGAAGGCTTCAACAGCTTCCGGTGCAGGTGTATTAGCAATAGGCAGATGTGCCTATGGTCTGGTCTCTTGAAAAGTCTTGTCCTACGGCAGAACTTGTATCCCAGGAGATATAGAGCCACGATGAAATGAGTCAGAGCATTCAAACTCATTTGCATATTTAAATGTATTTGGAAAACTGCAATTGCCCAATTCTGTTTTTGGCTACATCTGTTGTCATATAAGTATCAGTGCTATACTCATCCTTTCTGGTGACCATCATATGAGTGTTAAAGAATTTGCTAGGGTATGAAGTTAATACACGCCAAAGACCAGTTAGGAAGGCCTTTAATTGGGCTGATGAATAAGATCTGCTTTAGACCAGTTAGAAAGTCCTTGAAGTGGGCTGATGAATAAGATCTGCTTTAGACCAGTTAGGAAAGTCCTTGAAGTGGGCTGATCAATAGGATCTGCTTTAGACTACCATTGTGCATTTCACTTCCTTTTATTAAAAAGAAACTACGTTCCCTTCTTCCTCATGTAACTAAACAGCAGGCTTGGCCTCACTTAATTCTCATTAGTATACTTGAATGTCACACTTTGGACTCTTGGTCTCAGTATCTGACTTTTCTTTTTTTTTTTTTTATTTTTGGTTTTTCGAGACAGGGTTTCTCTGTGGCTACGGATCCTGTCCTGGAACTAGCTCTGTAGACCAGGCTTGAACTCACAGAGATCCGCCTGCCTCTGCCTCCCTAGTGCTGGGATTAAAGGCGTGCGCCACCATCGCGCTGACTTTTCTCAATACCCACTCTGAAAATTTAATGCATGTATACAATGTATCCAATGTATCCGTGCCCGCCCCTCCCTCCATCTTCTCTTCGGGACTGCATCACATCTTCCTCTTAACTTTAGGGTCTTATTTATTCATTTAATCTCACTGAGGCCAGTATGTGCGTGGCTGCTAAATTAGCACATGGGGAATTTTCAGTGACCACACTTCTAGAGGAAAGGGGCTCCCTCTTCTAATAGGTCAGCAACTCCTGATAGAGCCTCAGCTAGGGGTGGGGCCACGGGAGCACCTCCCCATGCTAGAACTTTCACTGTGGTCTTGTGCAGGTAAGCACAGCAGCCAAGAGCTGAACCGTGCAGCCCACGTCTCGCCCAAAGGAGGGTATTTCACAGCACTCCCCGTCCTCCAGATCTAACGTTCTCCCCCAGATGTTCCCGACTCATTACATACAGTGAGAACTAAGTCTAGTCAAGAAATGCTTAGTGTTTTTCTGCATAACATTAAACAGTACACTGATTTGTATTTAGATTATAGCCTGAAGTCGTACATGGTCTCTGTATGAGAACTGACCTTTGTTTGGATAATAAACACCACCAACTATATGTAAAAGCAAAGAAAATGTTGAGACCTTGAAAAACCTGGCCAATAATGGTTACTGAACTGATTTATCATACGATCTATAAACTTTTATGTCTTTCATTTCGTACTTAATGAGGTAAAAAGTCATCTTTCAAAGTGCAACTTTGCTGAGTGTTAATATGTGGATTTTATAGTTTCAGATTTTTGCAGTGTTTTTAAAGTCAGAAATTATGCTTAATTGAACATAAACCTTTCATGCCATAAAAGGATCGTATTACCTCTTGAAAACTGAGAGTAGAAAATGATTATTCACAAAATGTTTATTGGTTTTAGTTTCTATGAGAGGCAAATATCCTAGAATCTAAAATTTATATTAAAAAAAACTCATAAATTTGTCTCTCTGATTACTTGCCATGTTTTTTTGTTGATGAAAGGTGCCGGGACTACAGCCCAGTTATGTCAGTGACTGAGCACTGGCCTTCTATTTGTGGAAATGGGAATAATGGAAGTGTAACCATAAGCATGGACTCGAAATAAAGGTGGCACCGGAAAGCCTTAGCCTAACTCCACGTAGAGACTGATACTTGCATTGATTTGTCGGAGAATAAAATGTGACCCGTGAACTGCAGCACTAGGAAAGTATGAAGTTCACGCCACCGGGTGTGATGGCACAGGCCTGTAATCCCAGCTGGAGAGAGAGAGAGAGAGAGAGAGAGAGAGAGAGAGAGAGAGAGAGAGAGAGAGAGAGAGGAGAGAGAGGATTATAACAGTTCAAGGTCTCCCTGGATTACACAGAGCTTTCTAGGCTAACCTGGACTGCATAGTGAGACCCTTAAAAACAAACAAACAAACAAACAAACAAACAACAACAAAACCCAAACCAGCGGCTTTCCTAGGTGGTCTTTTTCTGCCAGTGTTGTTGCTTGCCTTGCCCTCATGTGTTTTCTTATAGGAACACCAAAGTCTTAGTGCGTCAGTGCCTACCTTACTGGCCATTTTAACTTAGCGCCTCGAGCGCCCTTATCTGAAAAGGCAGTTTGAGTGTGAGTTACTGGGGGTTAATATTTCACTAACAAATACAGGGAAGGTGTAGTTTGCCCTAGAACGGGAGCCGTTAGGATCCCAAACTCATGTTGAATCCCCATTGCGAGGCTCCCTTTCCCTCCTAGACGAGGTTTTGTTGTGTAGACCTCTTACTCCGTGTGGTTCAGGTTGGCCTCAGACTCCCAGCTGTCCTATCTGCCTTGAACCTTCAGACTGTTTTAGCCTCCTGAGTGCTGGGTTCATAGGCGTGCGCACCACCGCACCCAGCCATTGTGAGGTGTTGAGAGGGTGAGGACTTGAGGCTGTGTTAGAGCCACTGGGAAGTGATTAGGGTTAGGTAGGGTCCTTAGGTTAGAACCCCATGGTGATGAAGCATCTAGGGGTTTTATGAAAGGAGGGGAAGAGACAAGTGCACACACTCCTTGTCTCTTGTGATGCTTTGTGATGTCTATGGACTCTCCAGCAAGAAGGCCACATCATTTGAGGCTCCTTGGCCTTCTACTTCCAGAACTGTAAGCCAAAACACACGCTCTTTGTTTAGTAATAGGGCAATTGCTGTATTGGCCCTCCAGTATAGCGACAAGAACCAGACTGACACAGTCGGGAACTTAAAACTGCACGGCCTCATGGCAGTAATGAAGAGTAAATGGAATTCAGACCCGAGCGTTTCAGCTCTGTGTGTTTTTCAGTGTACTGCGTTGATGCTCTTAGACTCCTAGAAATGTTCCTCCAACTACCTAGAGTTTTCCCATGGGACCAAAGGTTACAGAGAAACGGTTTGCAGATTTGAGAATTGAACAGGAAACTGTGTTCCAGTCACACTGCCTGTTTGCTGAAATACAGAAGAGGATAGTTTGCATTTGAATTAAAATGCAAAATTAATTTAAAAAAAAAAACAGTTCTGAAGCAGGAAGTGAGGCGGGGGATGTGGCAGTGGGAACGGTCTAGAGGTTTTAGAGGATGCTAGCCGACTGATTCCTGGCCTTTCCTTAGGCAGAGGCCACCGTAATTACACGAGTTCAGCTCATACAAACCAGCAGTTCAGTAGTGAGGCTTCATAAAGCTTTAATATTAGTTAATATGAAGCAGGAATTTCACACCAGACATGGCCACATAAAGTACACGAAGCTTCAGACAGTCTGAGCTCAGATGCGGATTTGAACTCTGGGTTGGTGATTATCTCTGGCCAGTCCCTGACCCAGCGAAATTAGTTTTCCTGCACGGCCCACTCAGCGTTGAGGCTCTGCCCTAGGAAGAACTCTTCAGGTCTAAGGGAGTTTCTAGATTTAGTTTTGAAAAGTAGCCAGTCCATGAACAAGTTCTATTTTTGTGTTTCACAGGACTGTAATATAGTTCACAAAATGTGAACTTGCCCCCAAGCTTGTTTGATCATATGAAGTTAAAACACAGTCTTTACATTGCTACGCTAAATTGCACAGGTGTGTGAAACCTGTCACTTTAAAGAAGGGTCGTTCACAAATCAAATAATGATCACCTCGTTCCATTTTAATCATCTGATTTTTACTGTTTTCATAGCAGTTTCATTTAGAAGTGAGGTCGGTAGCTTTGTTTCTGTGCCATAGAGGAGGAGATACCAGTTTAAGCTTGTAGCGTTTTCTCCGTGTGAATAGCATGGTTTCTGAAATGAGCCTATCTGCACTGTGGTCGCGTCTCAATACTATATTTGGACTTGTGCGCTGTGGTGCACATCCTGCCTGAGATAATGTCTCTCTTTCTTGGTGACATTTCAGTGACAACCTCTCTTCCTGTCTCCCCTTCTAACAGGTAAAAGTGTGTGCCCAGAGAAGCAGACCTGCCGTCATCTACCATGTCTCGGAGAAGATTCGATTGCCGCAGTGTCTCCGGCCTGCTGACCACCACTCCTCAAACGCCAATGAAGACGGAAAAATTTAATAATTTCTATACACTTATGTCGAAAGAACTCGGGAGGTAAGGAGACTTTGATATGAAAGCTGTCTAAATTCAAATGTTTTATTTCTGCTCTAAAGCTCACATGGACCACTATCGGTAATGAGAAAGGAAAGCCGCCACCTCTGCTCTCTTGGGGGACTAGAAAGTCCCATCTGTGGAGGAGTTCATATCCAAGGGCCCACCCAGCTTCAGAGCTCAGCTCTTCCTGCGTCTGTGAGTGGGAAGGGGCAGCTTCGGCTGCCAGGCCCCCATCTGGGCTCTGCCACTGGTGTCTGGGTGACTTCAGCTGTTAAACGTACCTCTAAGTGCCGGTCTCATCTTCTCAAGAAGAGATGCGGATCATACGTGGATGCTCACGTGTAACTCATTTAGAATTTTCAGGGTTAAGTCACCTAATGTTTGTGAAGTGCTTAGTGCGGTGTTATATGCTGTGGTTTTAATACATTTGTCTTCATTTCTGGTGTTTGTGTAAGAGAGAAATAGAAAGATGCTTCACACACACACACACACACACACACACACACACTTTCATAAACGAAGAATATTTGACTCCTGTCTGATATCACAATTTATATCACAGAGAGCTGGTGTCCTATAAATAGACGCTCTATGAATTCTGCCTTGGCTTAATCAGATACATCTTTCTCATGGCCAAGGGTGCCCTTTACACTTAGTACTGCAGCAGTTTTGATACGCTTGAGAATAGAAAAGCTGTGCCCAGTTATTTATCTGTCCTGTGTCTCTTTAGGTTTAAATTAAGTGTGGTGGTGAAGGGCAGACGACCGCGGTCATATATATATGTATGTATGTATGTATGTATGTATATGTATGTATGTGTGTATGTATGTATGTATGTATGTATGTGGAGGTCAGTGTTTTGTTTTACGCTACAGCGATCTAGAAAGTCTGTTTTTGTCAGTGGATAGACAGTAAACTAATATGTTTACTTTAGCCTAAAAATCTCTGTGTGGAACCTCAGATTTGCTGACCGTGAACTCCAATTCTTTGCTGGCGTCGTCAATGTTTAGTAGAAGCTAGCCCTGGCTTTCTACTTTTTCAGCTGTCGCACACAGCCCTGCTTTCATAACATAAAGATGAACCCCTCTCTCATCGCTATAGAATATTTTGCTTTCTGCTCTGCTAATCTCTATTTGACAGACACAGTTTTCTTTTTGTAGCTGCACGCAGTATATGTTGAGGTAGCAGTCTCTCAAACGTTTAAACAGAGCCGAACATCGCTGGTTCCCTTAAGTGCTTATCAGGTGATCCAATATCCAGATAGCCTTCCTTGGTGCAGTTTCCCTCTTCTGGACCTCATTCTGCTTCTGATTGTCTCTGTTGAAAAGAGAAGCCTGTATTCGACACAGCATTGTTAGTAGCTTCCTCTTGGGGTTGTAAGCAGACTAGTGAAGAAACCCAGCATGCCATTAGGTGCCTGTCTGCCTCCTGTACATTGCTCCTATCTCTCCTCCCTTTCCTCATCCCCTTTGTCCACTGCACATGTCCAGTCTGTGTCGTACAGAGTGATGTCTTTCCACCTGAGCTAGGAGCTCCTCGAGCTGCCTTGGCTCTGGATCAGAATTTGTGTGATAGTCTTAGTTGTGTGCTCTTTCTTTCTTAGTTGAGAAGATAGACTGAGTATGTTCAAGTTGCCTCTTATTGCCAAATGTCTGGAAATTGCTCTGAACAGATACTTAGACCATGACCCGTTTAATCTATACCAAAAGAAGCCTTCTCACCTATTTTTCTAGGTTACTGTTTGGATGAGTAACTTTATTAGGTTAACTTTGAAAAATAATAGGTATAGTAGCTCCTGAGGGTTCCTCCCTTTAGCTCTGTAGAGAACGCGAGTGGGCCCACTCTGAGCAATGTCTTACAGAGGCAGTGCCATAAGGAGCCACCATGAGTTGCAGTTAGTTTGCTTTTAAACATTTTAAAGCAAAAGCTCATGTTAGGAGCTGATTAAAACCGAGTCAGACTGCTAAAATGCCGGCATCAGATGTCGTCATGGAAGAGACCTAAATTGCGTTTTTGAATTGCTTTGGGCCAATGACTCCCATGGGAGATACAGATGCGTTTAATTTTTAACCTTGGCAATTAAAAATCATTATTTTTTAATTTTCTGTCCTTTAAGAAGATCCTTTCAAGCTCACAACCAGTCTTAGTGTGTGACCCTTGTGAAGTGAGTCTGGGGCTCTGAGAATGTTTCTCTGGGCGGCCTGCGCATTCTGTAACATAAACATAATTCCAGCATGTAGAAAGCTACAGAGTTATCTTTCTGTATCAGCTTGACTTTAAAATTTAATTTTAAAATGTCAGTGTTTGAGAGTGTGTTTCCCTTTAGCAATACAAAGGAAACTGTATAAAGTAAGTCTAAGTTCATTTTTCACTATTCTCAAAAAACTGCATGGTTCCTGTTTTTTAACATGTTGGATAAGTTTTTTCCACCCCTCCCCCAGCTGAGGCAAAGTTTCATGGGCCTTGTGGTTAGAAGGGTGAGGCAGATTCAAACGTCAGCTTCCTCTGTGGCTTCCCCTCCCCCCTTCATATTTTATTGTGTGTTGTAGATGCAGAGAGTACCGGGTAGACGTTTCTCTGCGGGAAAACTAGTCAGCTCTGCCCTCTGAAGGTGTGTGTGGACTGGTATTATTAAGGTTTTAAGTTTTCTTGACTCTGTCTTAAATTTGGTACAGGAACATTATATATTGAAGATTATTTTTATACTTCTAACCTAAACTGCAACTAGCATCTTAAGATGTAAAACAGATACTAGATTGTTCCCCTTAAGGCCTCTAATATTTATGCAAAAATATTTATCTTTTTTCACAGTATGTATGACTTTATGCATGTGTGATTATGTGTTAATATATGGATATAACTTATCAAGACCTCAAATGTGGTAGTGCACACCTTTAATCCCAGCACTCCAGAGGTGGAGACAGGCTCTGAGTGTGGGCCAGCCTGGTCTACAGAGTGAGTACTAGGACAGCCAAAGCTACCCAAAGAACCCTTTCTTAAAAAAAAAAATCCTCTGTGGATTTAAAAACCTAGCATAATGTGTAGTATCACAGTAGGTCCACAAACTCTGCTGCTTATCACATGCTATTGTGTGTTAGTTTGCAGAATATAGATTTTTATAGACTTGATTAATGAGGTCAGAAATGTTTCCTTTGCTCGTGGTGCTTTTCCTTAGCAGTGAACATGACAGGTGACCATTCATTGCCCATGACATTTGCCCAACTTTGTCCTGGCTCATGGAGTAAGAGTAGGAAGTCTCAGGAAAGCCAGAAACAGTGAGGTAAAAGCAGGTGAAACTCGTTCATCTTGCTGCTTGTTTTTGAAGTGATTCTAGTGCCTAGATTCTGTCACGTGACTAGTGTCGTGATGTCACCACAGCTGCAAACTGTGTCTTTCAGATACATAGCTCTCTTGGCTTCCTAGTTTGTTTCTAGACTTTACAAGGTGAGGGTTTTTTTTTTTTTTTTTATCATAAAACCCCAAACTTCCTCTCTGTTTTAGACAAGTTTTTGCTTCCATATCTCAGTAAGAATTAGTAGATGTGAAAGTTAATAGAGAAGCAAAGTCATTTTAAGGGGAGACAAGAAAGCTAGGAATTCATATTTCATGGTTTAATTCCTGGCACTCAGCAATAAAGAATCGGGTTTGTATGTGTAGCATTATTTAGTTACAGTATGTTTTAATAAACGTAGGGTTCAGATTATAGCTTGTACATTTTATTTCTAATTATTAGCTATATAGTTTAGATTATTAACACTGGTTTTGAGGTAATTAGGAAGCAGTGAGGAGAAATCTGTCATTTTGGTTCTTGGGAGTAAAAGATAAAATCCAGTCAAGCCACTTACTCTCCTAACCCCACACACTGTGAGCACCACCTGGGTTAAGTGGTTGACCCCACTACCAGCTGACCATCCATTAGAAGTCTGTCTCTGAGAGTAACTGCAGCAGTGGGGTTAAAATCACGTGCTTTGTGAAGATTTGTTTGTACCGGTGGTATCAGAAACCATAGTGTGGTTTATTCTTAACATGGAGGTTATTAAATTGGGGTCTTTCAGAGTAAGGCCTGGAAAGGTTTGTGATAGGCTTCAATCTGAAAAAGGACACAATCTGTCACATGACTAGCGTCGTGATGTCATCACACCTGCAAACTGTGTCTTTCAGATACATAGCTCTCTTGGCTTCCTAGTTTGTTACTAAACTTTACAAGGTGAGGTTTTATCCTAAAACCCTGAAAAAGAGGGTTTACAATAGGCTTCGACCCGAAAACCCTCCAGAAAGGAATGTAAACCTTCTTATTTGAGGGTATGTATGCATTTTTTGGAGTGTACAAATCAATAGCTTTTATTAGTTCTTAAAATAATCCTTGCTTCAAAATAACTTTACATCTTTGTAAACTAAATGCTGTAATAGATGCATATACCAGGAGGAAGAGTCTTTGTGCTTTAACTTTGGGTAGGATGCTGAGTGTTTCTGTTAGAGAGATAAAAGCGTTTGTACTTTCTTAGAAAGATTAGCGTGGCATTACTGGTGTGCTTGTGCCAAACTGTTGATAACCCCGAATTTCTTTGCCGATCAAAAAATGCATTTGAATAGACTCCATATCTCTTAGGTGTCTATTAGGAGCATGAAGTTGGTAGGCAAACAAAACTATCAGGTATGCTAAAATTGTGTCACACTAATACTGAAAATAAATTGATTAACCTGCTGAGATAGTTAGTCTTCTGCATTTTATGTGGTCGCTTTGTAGACTTTATAAAAGAACATACGGTATTTGATTCAGCTTATAGAGGAAAAAATGGCGCAGATGTGAACGAATTCACTCTCAATTGAAGATATAAAACCGCCCTTTTCTTTCTCTCTAGAGGAAAATTTGCTGTTGTTAGACAATGTATATCAAAATCTACGGGCCAAGAGTATGCTGCAAAATTTCTGAAAAAGAGGAGAAGAGGCCAGGATTGCCGGGCAGAGATTCTGCATGAGATAGCCGTGCTGGAGCTGGCCAGGGCCTGTCCCCACGTGATCAATCTGCACGAGGTCTACGAGACGGCCACCGAAATCATCCTGGTGTTAGAATAGTAAGTGTGTGCGTCCTCATGCACTTAAGTGTTTATTATAATTGGTGGAACGTGGTATGAAATGGCAGAGATAATAATAATAATAATAACAGTCTGACAAAATTTATAGATGCTTGTTAAAAAATATTCGTTTATGTTTGTACATTTTTGACAAGACTAAATGTTTAGCTTCATACTTACATACCAAAACTAATTAACAGCAGGTAATAAACAAAAGACAATATAATAATTTGGGAATATATTTGCAAGAATTTGATTCCATATAGAAAGTAAACAAATTGAGATTTTCTTCTAGAAAATAATGGTAAATAAAATGGAAGTAATTTTTATGACTGAAAACTAAAACCAAACCTGTTTTTTAATAAAACATGCCTAAGAAAATGATTGAAGAAGAAGCTTGCCCAGAGGTGTGCCTCCAGCGTCACTAAGATATGTATAGTACATACAGTGTGAAAGGACTGTCAGGGACTATGGCCAAAAGAGAGGGGAAAATCTCTTGTTAGTAAAACATTGGGAACACCAAAATGCACAGTAGACTGCCATGGCCTGCTGACGCACAGATTAACATCCAGTACAAACAATTAGAATTTTTTTGAAGATAAACAACACTGGAAAGAGATCAGGTAAATTAATACTGAGTTTATCTCAGGTTTTGATAGGTTTTAATAGAGTAATGATGCTTTAATTAAATTTAATAAAGTAATTTATGCCAATTTAGCACAAACTATTAAAGAAAAGTGCTATTTTAGAGAAAATAAGGCTACAAACTATAGTGATTCTTTTTGCCTGCCTGTGTACATCATTGCCCGTTGAATTTGTAAGTATATTTGTCCTATTTTATTTGCACAATTATGTGTCTAGAGAGAGTGTGTGTGTGTAGCACACAAGCTTGTGGGGATTGGAGATAGAGTTTAGCTGCCCTCCTCAGTTGGTCTCCACCTTATGTATAGAAGCAGACCTTTCACTGAACCGAGAACTCACCGTTTCTGCTGATCTGCCTGGCCTGCTGGCTCCTGAGATTCCCCCCTTGCGTTAGCATTGCAGGTGGGCCACCACACCTGCCTGGTGGCCAGAACTCCCTCATGCTCCTGTGGCAAGCCTATCACCTGCTGAGTCACCTCCCCAGCTCCCAGGGCTTTTATTTTAGTGCTGATGTTGTAAGGAAGTGGAGATTTGTTTATATAGTTTTTGAAAACCAATTGTTTTGTGGAAGGAAATAGATGTGGCTAGAATTAATTTGTGGATGAAAGTGCTGTTTTTTTAAGGTCAGCTGACAGAGAAGACTAGGAGACCAACGCCACTTCAGTTTTCATATAGTTTATGATGACTCTTGTCAAAGATTCTTAGCAGCCTTTCCTCTAAATAGAGCTGCCTTCCTGTAAGCTTTGGGAAAGGCAGCTAGCATGGAAACAGTTAAGGAAAGGCTGGAGGATGAGTCCGTACAGGACCCTGACTGTGTCTGTCAGTCCTGCTGGAGCTCAGGTGAAGCAGCAAGAGTCTCTCAGAAACACGATGCGTGTCATGCATAGCCTGCGTTTACAGTCGGAAATGGGTCCAGAGACCTCTCCCAATGACTTAGGAAAATTGTTGTGACCTCACTGCCTGGCTGAAATATAACGAGCTCTCAGCAAGTGTTTGAGTAGATTAGTACATTTAATCTCATAAAGTGGCTACGACTAAAATTTATTGCTAGGATTGGGGCTTAATTGTGTCTATCACTTTTGGGGTGGCAGCCACCCTGGGCGTTTTCATATAATTCCAACAGTTTGGCCAGACAGATTTGCTGTAACAAGGAGACATATGTCTTTTGTCTTACAGTGAAAATGAAATGGTGGAGTCTTTTCCTCTGATAATTTACAGATTAAATTCCTACCACAAACCATCCCATGTACTCACGTTTTTTCTACAAAATTCACATCTCTGAAGACTTGGAAACATAATACAGTTGACATTCACGCATTCTTTGCTTTGATTCCTCGGTTGTTGACCTTGTGCCGTCTTCACTGTTAGTGCGTCACATCCGGTGGCATCAGCATCAGCATCAGCATCAGCTGGTCTTGTTAGATTTGGAGATGAGTACTGCGGTCTGCCAGGTCTCCCGTTCGTTATGAAGGGACAGCCTCCCTTTGCAGTTGTCACTGATCTGAGCGATGACCTAGTAAATGCCCTTCTCCTTGACATGCTTGCTGGCCTTAGCAGTCACCGTGGATGTCAGGACGTGCTTCATTCTAATCCCATTATTCTCTCTGCATGTATTTACGTAAATTGTGTATTTACATTTATTTAAGCTGGCGTTCTTCTGATAAAAGTGTTCCTTTCCCCTTTCTCACTATGTTTTCATGGTTTCGTTGAACTGTTAGCTAGCATCAAGTAAAGGTAACTCATTATGATCAATTAGTGGGCCTAATCAGCTTCTTCCATGATTTTCCTTCATGCCAAGTTTATCAAAGATTGACATTTGTCAGGTAGGCTTTAGATCTCCGACCCGTTCTGTCTAATGAGATTGAGTTAGTGTCTGGAGACTTCCTGGCTCTGCACACTAAGATCCCTTGAGCCTTCCCCAGCTGAACCAGGTCAGCCCACTCTGCATGACACCCTGGTTGCAGTGGGTGGTATATGGCAGTTCAGAATAAACCTGCTAAGACCACACCTAGCAGCAAGTGACAAGATTCCCACCCCCCTTTTGCTGTTCTTTTAAACTAAAGTATTGCCTGCTATGGCATGTTTTCAGAGAGTCAGTTATAGGGTTAGGTTAGGTACGTTTGCTTCTGTTTATATTCAGTGTTGGGATTTCATTAAAAAAAAAACCTTATTAAAAATCATTTTAACTATAAAAAAGGTATGCACAATTTAAAACTCAGACATGTAAAAATGTTTGGCGCTTGTGTGTGCGTGCAAGTATGTGTGTTGATGGGCAGGGGTTGTAAGCTCCTGCTGTGTCTCTCTGCCATGTCCCCATGGATGGCTGATTCCAGAGGACTCCATGTATGGCTTAGCGCTTTATTCCGCTGTCTTACACGGAGGCTTTATCTTCAGGTAAATCTGGGAGCTGATTGCTGGCTCAAAGAATAATGCATGTCTAACTATTATATACAGTGTCTGAACCCCCATGATCATTTTAGAAAGACCTTTTTTGAGTTTCTGCATTTGCTGACTTTATAAATACCCATAAAACTTCCTTTAGCAATTAATATAGCTAGGAGTTCTTCGAGTTCTATTGAGGTTTTTTTTTTTGTATTTTGCTGTTTTGTCTCAATCCAAACCTTTTTTAAAAACCAAATTGTTTACTTTTGTAAATCAAAGTGGGGTTCTTCTAATTACCTTGTCACTCGTAAGTAAGTTTTAGATCTTCTTATTTTTATCGAAACACATAGCCCACATAAAAGTATTACCTTCCAGTTAAATGTATCAGTGACTGTCCAGTCCTCTCTTTGGCTGCTTTGCTGAGGTGGTCTTGTTGCATCTCTTTATGAATTAGGGTTCTGAGAATAGACAAGCCACCACATCCCCACTTTGCCCACACTGAGTGCTTTAAAAGTGTGTGTGCAGGCAATGAGGAGAATACCTTCAAAAAGTAGTAAGGGAACACGTTTTCTAAACGGACACCTGAAGTGCTGAGTTTTAAGCAAACTGAAATTGATTATGGCATAAACTGACTCGTTTTTTGAAGCCATGAGACAAACGCTGCCCTTGAAACAGAGCAGCCTGAAGGGGAAGTTGCTCGTAATTAACAAGCAATAGCTGCAGCTGTGCAGGAATGAGACGAGACACGCTTTTTGTTGGGAAGTTACAGAGTTCTGTCCATTGGGAACGTCCGCTGTGCTAGCCAATTTAGCAGCAGCCACAATACGCAGTCTTGATTTTGTGGCGCCCCCACAAGTACCCGCTGACCCGTGTCTTGCTTCCAATGGTTTTCTCAGTTCGTGGTACATCTGCACCTTGTACAGTGCCTAGCACACAAGTTCTGAGAACTTCGTGTGTCATCTCTCTGTTTTCACCTTCTGAGAATTGCATTTGCAGTATTGTATTGCTAATCTCATCTCGGTGCCACTGCAGGAATGCAGTTGGGCCACTCTGTTCTTGAGTGGCATTTTTAGTTACAGTAAATAGTGGAACTAGAAAGGAGGGGTAGATGTGTTGCCATCTACACCGTGGATTCCTGCTTCTTCCTCCAGAGACCTCGGGGAACATTGCCTTTATTATGATACGTCAAGTCAGACAATACAGTTAGTTTTTGTGAATGTTCAAAAGGTTTTGGTGAGTGGGTAGGATGGAGTGGGGGGGTATCACTGTTGAGTGGGTAGGATGGAGTGGGGGGGTATCACTGTTGAGTGGGTAGGATGGAGTGGGGTGTGTCATTGGCACCTTCAGACATGTTCCTTACCAGCGGATATTTTTTCCTATGTTGTCATAAACCAAGTGTCAGCAGCAAATTCTCGTGGTTTTCCTTGGCATGCTATGTGCAGATTAATCTGTGACAGCTTACAGCGGCAGTGTAAAGTATTGGTGCTTGGAACGTAGGTTTGAGACCACCATACCCTACATACAACAACTTTCTTAGTCTTGACAGCCACGGAGATGCTATACAAGCATGGACGTTTGCATGAACATTTGCTTAATGGGTATGCAATATTTAAAGGTTATTTTTAGATAAATGATTTTAATAGTTCTTTTTGAATTTTCTTTCAGTGCTGCAGGTGGAGAAATATTAAACCTGTGTTTACCTGAGGTGGCTGAAATGGTATCTGAAAATGATGTTGTCAGGCTCATTAAACAAATACTTGAAGGAGTGGATTATCTACATCAGAATAACATTGTTCACCTTGACTTAAAGGTATGGTAATGTGATTTAAACTAACATTGCTGTTCTTTATCTGTCCTTGGTCGCTCAGTGTCAGGCTGGCCTTGGTAGAAAGAGGGCCTGTCAAGGTCCTCTAGACCCGTGGGTGCCTCTGCTGGGGTAGGGCTGCATTGGGCTTTGCTTTGTACTGAGTCAGGAGAGGCTGACTGTGTGCTAAGCATGAAATATACCACCTAAAATCTAGCACCCTTACATGTAATCCATCCAGCCTGCTCCAAGGCACATCCACCTTGCCTGGCTCCTCCTCCCTTTGAAGTGATTGGTTCTGATGACTGCCTGATCCCCTCCTGTTGTTCCTTGTCCTGCTTCTGCATCTCATTCCCCTTTCTCTGAGGTGTCATGTGGTCTGTCTCTGTAGTTTAGTCAGAGTTCTCACCCAGTCAGTCCCCAGAGCCATGGTCTGTCTTTCCTGCACAGTCGCTCCCAGGCCTTGTAATCCGAAATAACACGTTTGTTACCCCGTGGATTCTCTCTGTGTATAGTTGGCCTGCATGAGCCTTTGGGTTCCTCTGCCACCTTCATAATATAATTCCAAAATCGGTGCCTAGCATAACCCAGACCTGTCTCTAATTTCCACCTGTGGATTCTGTACCATTTGAAAGTTCTATAAATTTAAATGTACATTGCCCAGCTCTTTATCCCATCCCCTTAACAAAACAAAGCAGAACAAAGACAAAAACCACATTTTTCTTTGTTTCCCTGTGGAGGGGGAGGAAATTTTTATCATCTGGCCTCCCTGCCATTTCTCCTATAATCACGTGGTTGGGGAAGGGTAGCATAGTAAGTGCCAGGATGATCACCTGTGAGTCTGTTTGGTCTTTGTCCCACGGCACCACCGAGCACTTGAAGTCGGGGTGGCCTATAAACCTGGCTTTTCACACTACAACCATGAAGCTGACAGCAGAGTTTACCTGTCTCCTAGAGTCGTCTCTTGTGATTTAACGGGAAGCCTGGCATAGTCCCTAAGCTAAAAGACTGTTAGGATTTTTGCACAGACTTTGTGAGCAACACTTCTGCATTTATAATGGGTTCTGGTAGGGTGCTTTGTCATACCTACGTAATAAAGTCAAGTCATGTGGCTCTTGGGGACAGCGGAGGACACATACGTATATACAGATACAGCTTATTATCTGAGCCATACACCTCGAGACAGTCAGGCCCAGCTCGTCTAGGACCGTCTGTCACACTGTATAGAACCACGTTCTGCCCTGGACATGCATATGCGTGTAACTGCTGCATGCTTACCCTGCAGTCTCCCAGAGCTCCTTTCTCATTGGCACTCAGCCTGAGCATCGTCGTCTCTACCGCCAAGACTGCATGTTTGCGAGCGTGCGTGTGTGTGTGTGTGTGTGTGTGTTCACCACTTGAACTTTTTGTGGGCAGAATTTAGTGTTCTTGTCTTTATAACTACATAGTCCATATGTCATAATGAGCCCAACGTCTTACAAACTGAAACTCCTTCTGGCCGCCTTTTACTTTCTTCGTCTTTAAATGTGGGCTTCTCCTAACTGGCAGTTGAGTGGTGTTGGCTGAAGTACTGTAAGGATGCATAGAGCCGAGCAGCAAGGTAGACTCACTCACCCACAGTCTAGGGCCAGCCCCCTTTGCTGTGCTTTGCTCATCTCCTTTGTGTGCTTTATTTAGCCGCAGAATATACTACTGAGCAGTATATACCCACTTGGAGACATAAAGATTGTAGATTTTGGAATGTCTCGAAAAATTGGGAATGCGTGTGAGCTTCGAGAAATCATGGGAACACCTGAATACTTAGGTAAGAAATGCATTTTATTTTTATATCATTTTGAAATGTATAAAGATCCCTATTTAAAGCTATATTAATGGTGGAGATGTGGCTAACTATTATGGTAGAGTGCTCACTTAGCACCAAACAAACAGAAAATCCTCACGTATTTTAGATCACACAGTACTAGGATTCATTTGATTCAGAAAGTTTAATGTGTTCAAATATGGTTATGACTCATTAAAAATGAGGGGCAGTGAATACAGGAACAGGTTACACATTTAGAACAGCTCACAGGACATTGGCTACGTGCAAAAGCTCAGTGCGTGTTTATCCTGACTTTGTGTGCAGGAGAAAGCTCAGTGCGTGTTTATCCTGACTGTGTGCAGGAGAAAGCTCAGTGCGTGTTTATCCTGACTGTGTGCAGGAGAAAGCACAGTGCGTGTTTGTACTGACTTTGTGTGCAGGAGAAAGCTCAGTGCGTGTTTATACTGATTGTGTGCAGGAGAAAGCTCAGTGCGTGTTTATCCTGACTTTGTGTGCAGGAGAAAGCTCAGTGCGTGTTTGTACTGACTTTGTGTTCAGGGAGAAAAGCGTAAAAGGGAAATCAGTAGCAAATAGGCAGAAAGCAGAGGCGAGAAACAGAAGCACTTCTTCATGTCATTTCCACACTGTCAGCTGTGAATAATCTCAAAATAATTAAAGCCCCACTACATTCCTGTTGGCGTTCTCTTACTCTGTTTTCCATAGCCAGATCAAGTCGTAATTTAATGTAAGGTGATTATTTTGTTTTCAAGTTTGCCCGTGTTGAGTCTTAATTTAATTTTCTCTTTCAGCTCCAGAAATCCTCAACTATGACCCCATTACCACCGCGACAGACATGTGGTGAGAGTCTACTGGTTATCTAGACACACCCTTCACAGCTGCACAGTAGATGCTTAGCTTTTAGAAAAGCAAGTTTAATACTAAGAATAAGGCTTTCTGTCAAAGATGCTATTGCAGAGAGGTCATTGAAGACAGTTTACCTGTCCTTTGCAGTGAGCTCTTGAGCCAGAGGTGCAGAGATAGAAACTCCCCTCCCTGGTCACCTCAGTTGAGTAAGAGCTAGGAAGCCTCAGTGACACACACTCAGGAAGCTGGCTGGTGTGTCCATCATAGCTTGGGGTGATTCTCTGCCCAGCTGTGCGAGTATAGAAGGGATCGGCATGGTGTTTGCTGAGCAGGAGGAGGTCAGGTGCACACAGAAGCTCAGTTTATGGTTCACCTGGTTCACTTCTAGGGAATTGTGGGGTTTGAGGTCTCAGAGAGACCTCACAGGAGGCAGCACTAGGATGGGCAATGGAATTTCTGTTGCCACAACAGACCAACTGACTTACCTTAGCCTTACTCTCCTGATTCTTTAAATCTAATGGGTTTGTAACGATACAAAGATCTGAGTACTGATACATGTGTAAAGTCTGCTGTGTTGTCTTGTTCTAGCTCCTGACCAGCCTTGTCCTTAACATATTTACATTTGAAAGTTTTTGCCCTTCCAACCTTGGGCTTTGCCAAACTTGCAGACTGAGTTTGCACAAAACCCTGGCTATATCATTATTGTGTAATTGGACAGACTTAAAATGCAACTGTCTTATGTTCCCATCATGTGTCTATACCGAAGGTTGTATAGACTGTAGATAAAATAATATTTTCATTGGATTATGTTGATATTATATGTGACATATATGTGGACTCTGTTTTCTTTGTGAGGCCAATGGAAGTAATGTAACTATTTTAGGTTTTATAATACAGTAATCTCTAGAAGCAATTTAAGTCTTTTTTTACTGCCAGTTTTGAGGACAGGAACTTGTGTGCTATTAACTGTATTATCTATAAACATTGTTAAATTAATAGACCTTTTAAGCTTTCTTCTCCCTCATGTCTTTCAGGAATATTGGCGTCATAGCATATATGTTGTTAACTCACACATCACCATTTGTAGGAGAAGATAATCAAGAAACATACCTGAATATTTCTCAAGTCAACGTAGATTATTCAGAAGAAACTTTCTCCTCAGTTTCACAACTGGCCACGGACTTCATCCAGACCCTCCTAGTAAAGAATCCAGAGTAAGTAAAGCTGTGAGTTAAATGTTGTTACAGAACAAACGTGTCCCTATTGAGAAGGGCGCAGTCTACACAAAATGCACCGTGTGTGCAGACCATGGTGGGCGCATGGAAGTTGAAGGGAACTGCCAGGAAAGCGGGCAGGGGTATGGGGAAGAGAGGGACGGGAATCTCAGTAATAAAATTATTTTGTGCATGTATGGAATTGTTATTGTGAACCATTTTTGTAAAATTTGAAATGCTAGGAAAGTAAAAACACTAATGTCACAAGAAAGGTGATTCTAAAGTCACACAGAGTTATTACACGTCTGTTCAGATTTCTGGTAAAGGGTATAAATGCTAGTAAAATAAAAACACTAATGTCACAAGAAAGGTAATTCTAAAGTTATACAAAGTTATTACACGTCTGTCCAGATTTCTGGTAAAGTGATAGAAAGTTGATATGAAAGACAATTAAATAACTAATATGCAACTCTAAGCAAAAAAGCACACAACAGGAAGTTTAGAATGAAGGGGAGATTTGACTGAATATTTGCTCAACCAGCTCCTAATCCTTGGCTCACTATGATGGGCCCTGATTGTTTGTAGTTAAGTAAGTCTGTGGCATAAGAGGCACAGGTTACCAACGGCGAAATCTTAAAGGATTAGATGTCTGCTCTTTATAGAAGAATGGGCAAATTTTGATGGCTTAGAAGAAAGAAAAAAAAAAGCCCAGGGTCATAGAGTATCTTTCACCCCAGCATATGCTGAAAATGCAATGCATCATGGGATTTACTGGAGAAAGGACTTGATCACTGGCAGTTTCAAGGCAAGAAGAGGCCCTGCTCTTCTTCAAGAAGGCGGGCTTGTGTCCCGGGGCCCGTGGTCTCACTCTGAAGACTTCTGTTGTTGGCAGTTAACCTCCTGGAGGACTCAGTTTCTTTATCTTTGAGAGGAAAAAACAAAACAACAACAACAAAAACAGCTTTCTGAATGTTTTGCCAAATGAATTTGAATCCAGACAACTCTTGCTTGGTAATTTTGGACATGAATGTTTATTTCATATAAAGAATTATATTGTGGTTTGTTTTATAAGCCATTTTTGTTTTCTTAAGTAGACTTTTCCTGTAGTCTCTCTAATGAGCATATTACTAGTTTAATTATGAAAGACGATGTACAAAAACAAAAGACCAGAATAGCTACCAAATGGTTCCTATTGAGCCTTTGGGTTCACAGGTGTTTCTCCTTTTGAACACTAGAAAGCGATTTTCAGACCCAGAGTATTGGGTGGACATCACTGACTGTCTTTTCAGGATTTAGCAGTTGCTAGTTGTTGTTGTTGTTGTTTGCTTTGTTTTTTGTTTTTTTGTTTTTTTTTTTTTTTCTGAGACAGGGTTTCTCTGTGTAGCTCTGGCTGTCCTGGAATTTGCTCTGTAGACCAGGCTGGCCTCGAACTCCCGAGCACTGGGATTACCCGGCGACAGTTACTATTTTTAAGAGCATAAACTAAATGCAGAAAATAAATTCCTGATTTACAGTTTCTCCAGAGGCTTTCTAAATTGAAGGGCTTTAGTAATTTCACTAACGTGTGTTTGCTTGGCCAGCACGTGCTTCAAGCTTGACTGGATTTCCATATGTTCTCGGACACATTTTCTGTTCGGCATAGGTTAGGGTGAGGCGTCTACACCCCAGTTTTCCTCTCAGCAGTCGTGAAAACACATCTTCATGCGTAAAGGGAATCTCCCCATAAGCAGACGTTAGGCCTGGAGGTGAGGACGAAATGCTCTGTCCAATCCTGTCAATTCTGTGTTTTCGGGTAGTGTTGAAACACACAGTATTTAAGCATTTTGCTTACTAGCTGTCACTCTTCCACCCTGGTACCCCACAGTCTGTTTAACAAGACCCTACTGGTGCTTCCAAGACCTTGATGTTATAAACAGCAATCTGGTGAACACTAAGGAAATGCTTCCAGAAACTAGGTTGATTCTCCCCAGAGCAGGAATTTCTGTTTTATATTTTGCAACATGGTTTTATGTGTCCTCCCAATTACTTCTAATATTCAATAATACCAGTATCTTTTAGAAGATTATGGAAAACAAGCATTTATAGTATCTAGGATGTACTTTGTGAACTTAGACCTTTCTTCCTTAATCTTTGTTTACATACTAGTTTTCAGTGGTGGGGACCAATGCCATGACCTTACACAAATGAGGGAATTCTACCATTTGGCTTTACCCTCAGCCCATGAATTTACATTTGTGTAAGGAATAAATCTCAGAGAAAACATCAGTCAATGATCATGACTGATTGATGCACTTAATTTTTAGATATCCTTTATTACAGAACAAATACGTGCTTTATTTAGCTCTGCAGTGACGCAGAGGGATACTTAAGCTGTATTATCTACTTTGAGTTACCACCTCGCTCAGAGTGGCTGTCATCAGAAAATCTGATAACTCTCATGCTGGAGAGGATGTGAGGAAAGAGGAATCCTAGTCACTGTTTGTGAGACTGCGAATCAGTAGTCGTGATGCAAATGAACTTGTAGGTTCTCTAAAATTCAAAAGAAATTATTTTATGACCCAGAGGGACTCTATGTCCTACCACAGAGATATTGGTGTACCCATGATCATTGGTGCTTTATTTATAATAGCAAAGAAGCCGAGCGAGTCAGTAGATGGATAGATAGATAGTGAACATGCACAAAATATACAAAATGAAATATTACCCAGTTGTAAAGAAAAATCATGAAATTTGTAGGAAAATGACGTTGGAAAGTATAGAAAGGAGGTGCCTAAACCTAGCAGAAGAAACCCCCTATATGTGGGTCTTAGGCTTCAGAATTCCATGCTAACTGTGGAGAAGGCCGCTGAGATGCACAGGCTGCGACCGGGCAAGTGTTTGAGTGGCTGCTTAATCTGTTGTGAGCTCATTATAACAAAATGGTTTTGTTTGCTCAGAGTAAAGTGACGTATTATCAGGTGGGCGAGAAAGCAGCTGACAAAACTGATGATAGAGAAACTCTCTGGAGCTGACAGAGAAAATACTCTTACTTCCTTAGAACGAGACTTGAAAGTACACACTGTAGCCCACGCCTCCACCTGGCTGCCAGGCGGGATCCATTGCCGTCACAGGTTAACACAGACCTTGCACTGCCGGGAAGAGAGGTTTCGCTCAGGACCTCACAGTGTTTGCCACTTGTCTCTGCCGCGTGGGGCCATGGCGAGATGGAGCATGACGTGCCGTATAACGAAGGCCCAGCCATGTTACCTACCTCCTCCAGGGTTGTCCTCAGTGCTCCAACTGCCTTCAGCGAGTCAACCACCTTCCACCAATGTCACAGGCTGGTAGCCTTTGGGGAGACACTCAGTGTCCAGACTGCAGCGCATGATGCTGACAGTTGGGAAATTGGCCTCAGATTCAAGTCTTCTAGTGTGTCCTCCAGTGGTCTGTTAGATGACAGTGATGGTGCCTGTTTCCTAGGTTCCTGTGATTATTAATAATATACTGAAGCATGTGAACTAGCCCTAGCGTATGCATGAGCAGTCATGAGAGTCAACTGTGTGTTGTCTCCATCCGTGTTCGTGTAAAGCAGATGGGAAGCCGTCTCCAGTCGGCTCCTGCGCTCACCTTTCCCGTGTGCTTTCTGCCACAGGAAAAGACCCACAGCAGAATCCTGCCTGTCTCATTCGTGGCTGCAGCAGTGGGACTTTGGAAGCTTGTTTCACCCCGAGGAGACTGCAGGTTCCTCTCCAGTTCAGGATCACACCCTCAGGTCCTCTGAAGACAGGACCCCCAAATCCTCCTGTAACGGGAGCTGCGGAGACCGGGAGGACAAGGAGAATATCCCCGAGGACAGCAGCGTGATCTCTAAGCGGTTCCGCTTTGACGACTCCTTGCCCAGCCCCCACGAGCTGGTTCCAGACGTGCTGTGCTAGCGCTTTCTGTGAGCCGCCGGGACTGACGTGGAGATTGAAAATCCTCTCTGTGTGAGATGGTCTCTTTAGCTTCATATGTGATATGTTTTTATTACAAATGCACTTTTGCTTAGAAGAACGTAGGGAACAGATTGAATGCTAGGTTTCTGTTTGCTAGCGTAGCATTTCCTGTCCTGAAGTTGTTTTACAGAGAAAAATATTTAAGTATATGACAAAAATGTAAATTGTGCATGTGAGTTCACATGCAACTAGAAGAATTCAAGTTCAGTTGAACTTATAAAATGTTTTACATATCAAGAAAAGTGGGTTCTACTATGGTGAGTGAAGACTGAACAGAGTGCAAACATTGGAATGTAACAGCTTCTCTAAGGAGCCCTGTGCAGTGACTGTTGATGGGACTGGTCTGGGGAAGCAATGTCAAGTATAAACCACACTGTACTGAGACGGTGTTTATTAGCAAAGCTCCAGAGATATTCACAATTGGAAGTGCTTCCCACTTACCAATACCTTGAAACTATGTAAGATTTCCTTTGTGTGCAGGGTGCTCCGTGAGCAGGGCTGTCAGCCAGAGCAGAGAGGAAGCAGGGCTGAGCCAGGCTGTTTCTCTGCAAGCTAAAGCAAAACATGGCATCATTTTCCAACTCCGATGTGTTTTGCACACTCATCGTACATCAGATCTAGCAAAGGTCTGGAAGATAGGAATGTGTGGTTTGCAGATAAGAAAGGTCCTCCTCATCCTCTAGAATTACCAGAGTATAGGAGAATTGGGAAAAGCCAAATGTGTTCTCATTTCAGTCAGCTAGACACACTCATAAAGGGAAATGTTAAGTCCAGGCAGCTCATTCAGTGTTGGGTATCTCCTAAGTCTTAGAACAAGCCCACCGTTTAGAGTCTTCCACAAAAGTACCAGAGTATTAGTGGAACTGTTGGCACCAGAGTCCTTGGTAGGCAGCGCAAAACATTATGGCTTAGGCATTGCTGGAGTTCTTCAGTGAAATTCCGAGTGAGTGAGGAGGCTTGACACGCAGCTATCTCCAGGGTCCGTGTGTGTGTGTGTGTGTGTGTGTGTGTGTGTGTGTGTGTGTGTGTGTGGCGTGTGTGTGGTTCTGCTGGAAACGACACAGATGAGCTTCTAGTGTTGAGTCCGTGGTCAGTAACTGTGTTCAGTCCTGATGGGAAGGAGCCTGGGGAATGCTCTGGTGACTTCCCATTTGTGCCTGCTAGAAGGTCTGTAATAATATGCTACTATAATAAACTCCATTACCAAAAACCTTAATAAAAAGCCCATGTATTTCCACATTGAAGTGGGTTTAGGCTAATGATCTGTAAATTCTTGAAATTGTTAATAAATTCTGAGTTCTTTAGAAAACTTTAAACTTTTTTAAATGAGCATCAGGTGTTTGACTAAACATTGAGTTCCTTCTTTCTTTGTCATCTTTACAGGAAAAGTTGTGCTTTGTATATGTGTGTGCATATGTGTATGTGTACAGTGTATGTATATATGTATAGATAGAGAAAAGAGTCTTGGATTGTTTTTTATTTTATTTTTTTTATTTTTTTATTTTTTATTTTTTATTTTTTTTTTGGTTTTTTGAGACAGGATTTCTCTGTAGCTTTGGAGCCTTCCTGGAACTAGCTCTTGTANCCACCCCCACAGCAAACTGTTCTTTCAATTCAAGAACGGAGAGAAAATGGGAAGCCTTCAGCTGTAAGTATGGGTTTGTGTATTTTTTCTTTCAGCTCTGTCGGGCTTTGCCATATTTTAGAGGTCGGTGATTAAACTCTACATATTTAGGGTTGTTTTGACTTCTTGATACATTAGCTCTTTATTATTACACATTACACCCTTTTTAGTCCCAATACTATTATTTGAAACCTCCATTGTCTGATATTAATATAACTGCCTAATTTACATGTGGCCATGTGCTTGAGTAATTTTTTTATATATAAATGAATGTAACACATTTCATTTTATTTTTTATTTTTGGTTTTTCAAGACAGGATTTCTCTGTAGCTTTGGAGCCTTCCTGGAACTAGCTCTTGTAGACCAGGCTGGCCTCGAACTCACAGAGATCCACCTGCCTCTGCCTCCCGAGTGCTGGGATTAAAGGCATACGCCACCACCGCCTGGCCAAATAGAGTCCTTAAACATTCTTACATTAGACATTCTTTGCTTGTGTATTGTGCTCAACTCAGGTGCCAAAGGAACCCTCTTGTATGAATCATAGATGCTTTCTGTAGGACGTCATCTGTTGGCCCAGTAAGCTAAACTCTGAAGATGCTGCATTTAACTCATGTGTCTAAAACTGAGGAGTTGATAAACCATTGATTGCTTGTGTATTTTCCACCAGTATTAATTCAGGTGAAGTCGTTAGTCAAATCATGAGGAAGGATTGTGGTTGCTTTCCCAACAGGTAACATCTTATTGTAAAACTTTAAAAAGTATTATGCCAGACCACAAGAGTAAACATTTGAAGTTTTAATTTTAAGCCATTTGTTTAAAAATCTCTTTTTTTATTGTCTTTCTTTTTCTGGGGAATTCTGAGATGGTTTGCCTGTTCTCCTTAGTTAAGGGGCCACCAAACTGTAAACTCCCGCACCTTTTCTTGAGATGTTGTTTATTGTAAAACAGTAGCTAGTGGTTATACATAGAATATAAAAGCGGTCTTTCTTTCCATAAAGGGGAATTCAAGTATTTCCTGTGTTGAAATCTGGAAATAAATGTCTTTTGAGAGAATCTATCTGAAATGCCTCCGTTCTTCCTCTTCTCCCTGCAAGGCTGAAGAACAGGTCTATCAAGAGCAGACAATGAGATGATGTCTCTCTTGCTCAAGTAGGAGTTGGAGAGCCCCTCTGAGAATCAGTCGCACACCTGAGGAGAGCTGCTGATGTGTGTTAGCTCATGAAACTCCCACTGCTGTTTCGGATGGATCTGGGTGGCTGGGATTTTGGAAGTGCTGGTGCATCAAAGGCATTTGAGGGGTCTCAGTTTGTGACTGGATCCTGTTACTCACGATGCTAACAGCTACAGTCCGTCTAAAGTTTCCACCCTTGCAGAGTTCTGCAGCTTTGCTCCCCAGGAGATGCAGCAGCGTGCTTCTGTAACCTCTGCTTGTAACATTCTTCTTTGGCAGCCAGCCGGCACGCAGCCTCACTCACCTGTTTAAAGATGCTATGTAATGTAATCTACATGGCCAGGTCATTAGCTTCGAACCAGCTGGAAATAGTAGTCAAGGCCTGTAATGCCAGCCCCGGAGAGACAGGAGCAGGAGCGTCTTCAGCGCATTCAAGACCAGCCTGGTCTGCACAGTGAGTCCCAGACTAGACGGACAGCACAGTGAGACCCTGTCTCATAAAAGCCAAAGCAAACAAACACCTGTGTCTGACTTATGCTGAACTCAGGGCTACGAGGAAGAACTGAGCCTTGCTTGTCTCACGCTAATTCTCTCCGTATCACCGTCCTCTGGGTGTAGAGACAGACACACAGCACGGTACTCTGCCGTGTTGAACTGAAACCAGCTAAAACGTCGGCTTTTTCAAGTTCTGTGACAGTCTCCTGCTTGACAGTACGGAGTTAGCCCAGCGGAGAACAAGTTCCGTCAGGTGCCTTTTCCTTTTGAGAAATGGCCAAAACAAGATCGTGGCAGAAGCCACAAATTACGTTGCTGGCAATTTTAGACTCAGAGCCTTCTCCATGAGTCCAGCCCTTATGTGAACTGTTCCAAACCAAGGGCAGCGGGGGACCGAGACTGTGTGGGCATAGGACGAAAAGGCCTCGGCTTCCTTCAGGAAGGTCTGCCTTGCATCAGGGGAGGAGGCCTATTTTGGTGGGAAACTTGGTTTAGCTTTAAAATTTTTAGTTTTAGCCCCTCCCCCTTCAAAAAAAAAAAACCCATCATGTAGGCTCCCATCTTGATTTAAAAAAAAAAAGTGACACTAATGTCAAAGGGTCATTGGGAATCCATCCAGACTTAGCACCTTCACTCAAAGGAGCTTTGGACACGTAAATGTGGGGGTCCAAACCTTAGCACCACAAAAACAAAAAACAAAACCCAACCCCACCCCTCCAAAAAACAAAACAGAAACAAAACCTTTAAGGTTCATTTATCAGCATTGAAAATATAAGACCAGTTTTCTCCTTAAGAAGTGTCCAGCCAGGGGCTGGAGAGATGGCTCAGCGGTTAAGTGCATTGCCTGCTTTTCCAAAGGTCCTGAGTTCAATTCCCAGCAACCACATGGTGGCTCACAACCATCTGTAATGAGGTCTGGTGCCCTCTTCTGGCCTGCAAGCATACACAGAGAAAGAATATTGTATACATAATAAGTAATAAATATTAAAAAAAAAGAAGTGTCCAGCCAAATCAGAGTAAAGTGCAAGAAAGGACTCGGAAGCCAGTCGGTCCTGACCCCGGGCCAACCTTCCAATCTGGGGTAACATAGGCTAAAATGTCTTTGGATATTATCCATGGACACTTAAACTTGGAACATAGCGCTAGATAGCAAAGCGATGGGATTCAGTGATATTCAAAATCTAGCTTATCCAGGGGGTGGCATTCATATTGCTTTGTGAGGACCAAATCATTTCATTGTATCCATCAGCTACTGTCATTGTTGTTACAACATACCAGACAAGCAACATACGAGAGGAAGAGTCTGTTTGACTTCACAGGTAGTTCATTTAGGTGGGCGAGCTTGGCAACAACAGTAGGAACCAGCAGGGCATATTTCAGCTATAGTTAGAAGGCAGAGGTCGGACAGGAAATGTGGGCAGGCTGATAGCCCTCAGGACAACCCTCACTGCTTACAACAGCCTTCCAGAACTGCTACTAGCTTGGGACCCGCGTGTGCAAACACGTGAGCCTACAGAGAGACACTGAAACCACGTTTTCGAGAAGACACTGTGACAGTCAGCAGGCCCCTGACCTGAGAAACGCTGCTCTCGCCCCGCTCCGGAGCTCCGTAAGCTCCACGTGCACGCCAGGAACCAGCAGCAGATTCTGATACAGCGTGCGCTGATTCTCATGGTCCCCCTGGGTCCCAAAGATGCTTTCTGAATAGAAAGTCATTGCGGAGGAGTTTTGCTCAAGACTCAACTTGACCATGCCTGGGCTTCCAGAACTTTCCCTTTCACTGTTTCTCTACCACTAGCACGTATCTCTTTGTGATATTTCCTAAAACTCAACGTGAAGGTCTTTTTATATCTCCGCGTTCTGGGCAAATACAGTTGGTGGGAACAGAAAAACCTGTATCGTTTCCTTACATATGTGTACATAATAACTCCATCCATGCTTTTCCATCTTAAACGTTAGTACAAAAGGTTTTCTTAGGAGGAAGTAAATCGATCTTCCAACCTGACGAAGTATATGAATTCCTTCCCTTTAGGATGCATTACTTAAAAAAAAAAAAAAAAAAAAAAAAAAAAAAAAAACCTTCAAAATCACCTCCAGTGGAGACACCAAGCATCAATATGGCCAGAATCCGATGAATAAAACCCCGTGTGTACATCCAAGCCAACCTATGCTGTAGCCCAGCCTTAGAATACGAAAAGAAAAGGATTATTTTATAATTAGTTCAGAGGATTCCGCCCTCCATGGCTCACCACTGGAATTTAAATTTAGTAACTAGAATACTCCTTTGAAAGACCAACGGAGAGATATCTGCTAATTATCCTGGTATTTCGAGCCAGATTGTAAAGTGAATCTGGGTCACTAATTACGCAGTTGCCAGTGTACAATCAGCTCGGCTGTGCGCAATGACCAACGAATAAATGCGGAATATTGGTGGAAATTAGAAGATAGACTTGCTGAGCGAATAAGGCAACGGATTCTGTCGTGTAATGTACACTCCAACCCCTTCACTCTGTGAACCAACAAACGTACGTAAGCCCGCTAGGCCTTTTGATTCTCTGTGGTTTCACCCTTGAAACCCAGCGTATTTTCTACCTAGATTTCATAATTTGTATCACCGAATTAACCGTCTAAATTGCCTTCCTCCGAGTCAGATTTTACGGGTGAGATATTGTAGCTTGTGTCTTCCTTTGAGATCGGTTGTTAGCCCCCCGCTTAATTGGAACGTGATTGGGTTCTAAAGCGCGATGTGTACAAAAAGGCCTCTGAAGTAAATGAATATTTAAGTAAGCACAGGCTGAAGACCATTGAAAACAAGTTGAAAGGGGGAAAAAGCGCCTGGTCGTTTACCCAGAGGCCACCTTGGCTGCTGGAACCCGCGCGAACATCAGCTCCTTTCTCTTAGAGAGCCCCAACCATCAGCGGTTTGCTTCTTTGATTCGTTCCGGTCCTGATTCATTTAACACTCATGATGAAGCACAGGATACTACAAATGAGCCTGTCTCCTTTCTTCCCAGAAGTTGAATGATTGCTGGCCAGTGGCTGGGGCTTCTATATGACTACATTTGTTAGGGATTTAATTACTTTGGCTCCGCTCCAACCAGTCCTGAGCAAACACGGCGAACAACCCCACAATATTGGATCTAAGTAGTCAGCCTCGTTTTGAACTCTCAGCAGAATGTGCCGCTACTGAATTGGGTGCTTGTATGTGGCGTAACAAGTATGGCCTGCGGATACATCCGTGTTCGGAGAGAGGCAGCCTAGAAGGCGAA